CCTCCTCTTCCTCATCATCATCTTCTCCATCTTCTTCTTCATCTTCCTCCTCCTCTTCTAATTCTCCTTCCTCCTGATTGCTTGCATCTGAACTTTCTTGATCTCTCAGTTTTTTACCTTCTTTCTTGTCCTTTGTATCTACTTGTTTGAGATTTTGTTTTGATGACTGAGGACCTTCCATTTTAGTATCCTCACCATCTTCAGAAAACCATAAAGTGTGAAAAAGCAAAAACAACATATGAACAAAAACGTTACCTTTATAAAAAAAAATAACAGAAAGTTTACCTGTGTGAAGCCCAGAAGAGGAGGAGCCATCTGGGAACGTTTTGAAAAGGAGCCGGGTGAGGGATGGATGGGATGAGGGAAGGACTTGACTTGGGACAAAGGCTTAGGAGGGGATTCAGTGACCTCTTCAGCTTCACAATCTGATTTATTTTGCAGTGAAATGGCTACATGCTCTGTTCTCATAATGCTACTTTTCTCATCTACTACAGTAAAAAGAAAAAGAAAATATACTCATAAGGAAAAGAGTAATTCATAATAAATCTATTTTCACATCAACATGTAACACAGTAATTGAAATTTTTTTTCACAATTGCTTACTGTTTTCCTTGAATTTCTGGGAAGCACTCAAAAGCAGACTCAAGTTTGGTTTCGGCTGTTTCTGTAATCAAAAAATGACTTTCAGCAGAATAACATTATAACACAGACAGTAAAAACTACTTTATTTATATCAAATAACAATAAATTTAGGAGACTCTCAAAATGCTAGATGGCTCCATCCTGTAGTCCTAACTCAGTCAGCACTCTCACTGAAATCAATCAGTAAGGCTTTTTACCTTAAAATTAAACCCATCTACAGTTGACAAAAATATTTTAAAATGTACCATGCCTCTAAATAATTCCATTTTTATCTGTTAGCAATATTCCTTAATGTTAAAATTAAGAAGATATTAGGAATGTTTATTTTCAACTTTATGTACATGTACCTTAAATATCTGACAGATTCACTAGAGATGGCCAGAAGACTAGTCAATATGGCACAATTCACTATTGGATACCAATAAAATTCCTGTATGATAGGAAGATGTATAGCTTATTTTTTACATAGAAAAAGCAAGAAAACAGTATGAAAATCAAGCCCCTTTGGTCTGAGATTTATGGGAGCTCAGCTGTTTCTTTTACCTCTACGGAGTCCCACAGTACCAAGGAAAGCTGAGTTATGGAATATGTATGAGATGCAAATCTATCTAAGATAGATTTGCATCTCATACATATGTACATATTAGGGCTGTGCGAAATAGCACTGTTCTGCTTTGACTTCCGTTTTGATGGAACACTGTTTCATTTTGAGTTTCATTTCGTTGAAACTGTTTCGACATTTCACCCATAGGCTACAATGGGGAAGCATGAAACTG